GGAGGGAGGGAGGGAGGGAGGGAGGGAGAGGGATAACTACCAGGTAGGATATAATCCATGGACAAAGTGTTAGAAGCATAAAATATTAACAATAGCAAAATAATTTGGTAAATAAGAAAAAACAAGGAGGCATAAATTCAAAGTGATTACTTCCAAATTTATATTCTAAACTCTGTCCTTAGTTTCAGGTTCTTTAATCTACAACTGCCTAATGGATATTCCCAGGTAGATTTAGCAACTGGATTTTGCTTGCTCCCCACACTCAGCATTGTCCAAATCTGCTTTCCTTCCATATTACCCATTTCAGGTAAACCAAAACCTGAGGTTATCCTGCATCTTCCTTCACACCCTTGTCCCCAAACCCCCACCAGCTGACTCTGCCTAGTGGACCTGCTACTGCCTTTACCCTCCTGCTGCTTTACATCATACATTCCTCTCTTAATAGTTCCCAGTACTCCTTTCAATCCATGCCCCACAATGCTGACAAGTGATTTATTAAGAACATTAATGGGATCAAGTGACTTGCTTAAGGAACACTCAGAGAATCCCCAATACTTAACCAGGAGGAGTTAGCAAAGCTTTCAAGACTTTTCATTGCACTGCACATGTAGCTTAGTAGTAATTTGTCTAGCATATATGAGGCTCTGAGTTCAGTCCCCACCACTGCAAAACAACAAGAACAACAAAAAAAGACTTCATGTTTTGACACTCAGATTGCCGACTCTTCAGAAAAAAGTAGCAAATGAGAAATTCCATAAGAAATTTCTCTGGGAATTTTCCTCCTGGAAAACTTCTGAAAACTAAGGTTGTAAAACCTATGTTAGATTAGTGGTGATAGTGGGACAATGGGGAGTGGTAGCCCAGCCTTTGCCTCCTGGTTTCCATTTTGCCCATTCAATGCTATGTCCTAGTTCCTAACTCCTCTTCTTCAGTCTGTTCCTTAAAAACTGTGATTTCCCCAGATTAAGCCTAGCTCCTTTTCTTTAACTCTAGTCAATAGTCTCCCACAGACAAGCCATATTTATAGCATCTCTTAGTTCTACTGTAATCAAAAACATCTACTGTGTACTAAAAGGAACATGTTCTGGGACATATCTGTTATGTAAAATGTTTCAGTTTGGGGATGTATATCAATAGATAGTATGAGCTATCCAAGACAAAGATATAATAATATACAATTGGATGCTATTGACTAAAATGGGTGCATTCATAAATGTCCATGCAAATATAATCCACTGTTTAATTAGGGCTATGGAAAAAAACTGATTCTTTCTAAGTTTCCATCTTTTCCACCCAAAATAAAACTTATTCAGAAAACAGTAAACTAGGTATATTTTTCCTAAGAATGTAGAATAAAAAACTGATATTTTTAAAAGGTCTTCAGATATAACCTAAATGTCCTATAATAGAAAAATAGTTAAGTAAAATCTAATAAAGTCACTTGATAGAATGTAACCTAGTTGTTAACAATTGTATAAAACATTAGGGGGAGAAATACAGAAATAGTAAGGTCAACTTTTCATCTACTAGGAAAAGGCCTCTGGGAAATTTCACAAAGTGAATGACTATGGCAAATGACTATGTAAAATGACTATCGTCCAGACTCTAGCCCTCTCTTCAGAGACTCAGAAAGCTAACTTCATCTAAATTCCAAAAGTGGATATCAGCTCTGTAATATAAGCACATATTAAACAGGTTAATGAGTCAAGAAAATCAGAATACAACTTTTTTTCATTTACAATGAAGTATTAATAACTAAAGAAAATACTACAATCTTCTCACCTTGTAAACAGTTCTACAGCTGGGAAGCCAGATCACAAGAGGTATTCAGCACTCAGTTAGACAGAATAGGAGTTAAACGGACTCTCCAACAATAACAACATATAAATAGTGGTATGGGACTATGCTAAGCTTGTTTGTTACAAACTTCCTTTTGCCTCTTTATTAGATTATCCCTGATAATTCTAGAAGAACATCAGATACATTAACTAAACAAACCATTTCTAAGACTACTGCTACTAAGTACACAAAATTATAAGAAAATGAAAAGGAGCCCAATGATATGACCTAAACATTTACATGGTGAATAAATAAGAGGCAGCAAACAGGGAAAGCTTCTTAAAGAAGATGTATAGAATGGCAGTTCAGAACTAAGCTTAGAACAGAGGCCCAGAAATGGCAATGATACTGGGCAACATAAGCAGACTAAAGAAATGGTACGAGAGAGCAATCATGCTGGGCCCCCAGGAGGCAAACGGTAAAGTAAGAATCCTCAAATACCTAAAGTAGGATAAAACAAACACACACAAAACCATGGCTTTATAAAATAAGCCACCACTAAACTTTGATGACCTCACCTGTGAGTAAAATTATATCTCCCAGAAATACTGTAAGTGCCCAAAATGCAGCAGTTCTCCACAGAAAAACCTTCTTCTTAATTTCTGATTGATCAATTACTATAATTGTTGCTAAAGGCACTTTAGATCCAGAATTGGGTCCAGATTTTATGTTTATTTCTTTCATCTGACTTGGAGTTAGCACCATAGCTAAACAATTATACTTCTGACTTTTAGAATCACAATTTTTTATTAATGATATTTTTTTAATACCCTTAAATTCAGACACATTCCTCTGGCTCATTGCTATGATAGAATCTCTTGCATTAGAACCCAACTTCATTTTCTTAGATACTTGGAGGACTTTAGACAGAGCTTTGGAATTGCCTGATTTATCTTCAGAGCTCCAATTTCTTTTAACAGCACTTTTGTGAAAGGTATTCAGTTGGGAACACTGTGTTCCTGAGCGACACAACTCAATACAGATCTCATTTGGTGACAGTTTATCTTCAGAACTGAAAAGTTTTTGAGATTCTATATTTTCTTCAACATCTTTTTCAGGGTTTATGTGAATGTGGCTACTTTTTTTTTCAGGACAAATAGGACTAAAAAGTTCTAAGGAATATGTTTCTTCATTTTGTCCTCTTTCATGTCCTTCTGCAAAATCATCATTAGGCTGAATAAAACTATCTTCAGTTATTCTTATTTCCCCATGACTTGCCTTTGGTTCAGTTTCCATGCTTATGGTCCCTTTATTTATAGAATTCAGAGCTCTATCCTCCCTTTGAGCTAAAAAAGCAACCTGGCTGGAGATCATTATTCTCAGAAATTCAGTGTCAGTAGATATTTTAAGGTTTGAGACATTCCTAACTGCTCTATCAGACCTTGGCTCATCTACTGCATTAGAGGAAAAGAAGTCCAGACACTGGTTTTGCATTTCATGGTGTTCTGTTGGCTTGTACTTTGTTTCTATAGCTTCAAGATCTGTATTAGTTTGTTTAGTACTACCAACCAAATCCAATGTAACTGCACATTTATGATCTAACTGAAAGGAATTTGTTTGAAAGTTTTGACATAAGTTTGATTGATTTTTAGGCTCTTCATCTGTAATTTTATTATTTTCACATTGAACCTTTTGATTCTTTTTTTCTTCAGGTAAATGCTGAACTGTGCCCTTAAATCCGTGTATTTGCACATTAGAATTAGTTACGTCACTCAGCCCTGAAGGGTAAATCTTCTGGGATTTTATATTCTGTGTTTCTGAAGTAAAGTATGTAAAATCATCTTTAACTTGAACAGATCTACTCATAGAATTCACTAAACAACAACCACTTAAAAGATCTGGAGGGCCAGTAATAGCTTCTGAGACTTGATAGTCTTTGAGATTGTTTGGCTCATGGTTTTCGTCCTTCAGATGCAAAGAATGCTGATTGTACCAAAGTTGAAATTTTTTCCAGGGGTCTGCAGTGGACATTAAAGTTGTTCTCTGTGATACTGTCATTTCCAGTGGACTAGCTGGAGCACCCCAAAAAATGTGGACTTGAGATCCTCCACTCATAATTTCTGATAAAAATAAAAACCACCAAATTAATTTTTGATAGACTTTATATATAATATTAACAATGTATCAAAATAAAATATAAACTGAAAAATTAATAACAATGATTTATTTTCATATGCCATTTAATTATAAAACTGAGACATACACAAGAAATCATAAGAAAAATCAACTTAGTCACAAAAAAATCTTTACCTAAAGATTCTTTCAGATAAATAAAATTAAGAATAAAACTAGCATCATACAGGTAAATATGTTCATTTCTTGTCTTGTAAAACTTGCCTCATTTAAATAACAAGTTAGTAAAAGGGAGGGGTAGCATTTTACATTACCTGTTTTCTTTATTCCATAGATTATCTCAGTAGTTTTGAGTCTCCTTCTTTGAACTGTGAACTCAATTCCCAAAACCAAAATAGAAGGCACAAACTGGCAGGCAGAGAATATAAAAAAGTAAGATTTTCTTCAAAACGTAAAAGTAATTATATTTTCTATTTTCACTTCAATCTGTTAGAGCACAATCAATAAGAAATTGTTTCTATATTTTTACCTTTTCCATAATCAGATTAATAATAATTATCTTGTAACATATAGACAAAAGAAAAACTCAGTATCATTTAAACTTTTTTTCATTAACTGTGATAACTTGAAATAAACAAATCTAAGAAAACATCATTCTTACTGAGATAAACATAAAAGAATCATATCAATGTTTGTTTATTCATAACTGACTAAATAAACACTTGTTAAACAGATCTATTCCTAGAATTCATTGAAAACATTTTTACAGTGTTATATACGGGCAAAAGACAGAAAAGGTTCTCAACATGAGGGAATTGTTGACCTGGTTTAAAAACAACTGGAGGAGGGGCTGGGGATGTGGCTCAAGCGGTAGTGCGCTCGCCTTGCATGCGTGCGGCCCAGGTTCGATCCTCAGCACCACATACCAACAAAGATGTTGTGTCTGCCGAGAACTAAAAAATAAATATTAAAAATTCTCTCTC